AGGTCATGCTTATAGGCGTGAAAACAAACCGCTCAAAATTTGGTGTGCAGCTGTACGCCGCAGTGGTGTGCCAAAGCGTGACAAGCCGGTGATTCGGCTTGATGTACCGAACTTCCGTGCTCAAAGTCGTTTTAGTTTTTTTTTAGTATTTTAGTTTTCTTAACCCATCACCAATGGGTTAAGGTACCCCAGGCCAAAAAAATTACCCATGACATTTACTGCACTTCATAAATACCATATCATTAACCCATGCGCACTGAGTTAGTTTTGTTTTGTCACTCTATTTGAAGTTGCCATTTAAACTAATGGATCTGGGCTCTTCTCTGCCTGAATGTGGTACAAAATCCGGGCATTCGGCTTATTAGTGTGGTGACTCTCCTGGGTGTCTGGCTTGTAGGCCCAGCCCCATTGAAGTGGTCCTGAAAAGAAATTAAAGCCTGTTTGTGAGAAAGCAACCCCCAGAGAACAGACATATCAAGGATAATTGGGGGGGTGGGAATCTTTTGAGTGGAGTGTCATCAACAAATGTCAGGCCTTCCTGGGAATAAATTACCACAAGTGTGGCATTTTGCGCCCCTAGACTGTGGTTGGGGAGCTATTAGTGTTTTGTCATTTGTTTTGCATTATACAGTAAATTATATCGGCTTTTAATTTAAGGAACTTTATAGCCCTCAATTCAAACAAATTTAATAATTTGAATCAAAGCAATTCTGTTACCTTGTTAATTCCTGGCGCTGTAAATAACAACTGAATTTTTTTGAATAGACGTGCGATTAAACGCACTTCCCAAAGTGGGGAGGCGTGTACCAGCAGGTGTGAGTGTGATCGCACGCCTCTCCCAGGAAGGCCAGTAATATGATCATCATCACATCTTCTATTGAAAAGAAGAAAAGAAAATATGAACTTTAGCTAAGATCTAGTTCACTTAACCCAGTGATGCTTTATACATGCACTGTCTGTTGTAGTTTTATTTGATTGATTTTGTTTACACATTTATGGTACCACAAACACTACTGTCAACCAAGGAGTCAGTTGCCAGGCCTACCTGATCTCACCTGTTTACCCAATTCCTTGAATTTTCTGGAAAGAGTTTGTATTTTTATTATCATTACCTTCATGAGTAATTCTGTTGTTACCAATTATTATAGTAATGAAATATAATTTTTATCTCCCCAATATATGTAGGAATGAGATAAAGCAATAAGGTTAGGTTTCCCAAACTCCATGGTGACTAAATGTTTGTGATGCCATCTATATGTAAACATAGTGAATGAAAAAAGACCACACTAGACCATGCATGCATACATACACTCCCTGCATCAAAGAATAAACCAGAATTCACAGAACAGTGAATGATCTATTGTGTGTGTGAATAAGAAAATTTATTGAATTACAGGTTTTTGGTCACAATGTGATAAGAGTAAAGTAAGGGAAACAGTTGATTCCTTCTGTCTTTTGGTTCTTTTATGTCCTATATCAATCTTAGTCTTAATTTTCCAACACAATCACCTTACAGGCTTTTCTTGTGCTTCATATTAAGTAATAAAGTATTTTAGACGAAATGTAAGAAATGGTGAGATATCTGGGAAGCTGATAAAATTCTCAGGTATTTTTTGGTGAGTGCATGAGTGCATGCAGGTACATTACTTTGTCTCTGTTGATTGTTCTGCTTTTTTTCTGTGGTACTTTTGATGCTTATGCTTAATAGTGAATTGCCTTTGTATATTTGATGTTTCTGTCTTCAATTTTGCTGTATTTGTTAGTAGACTGAATTATTTTTTCTTCATTTTGAAAGGTAGGTATGCTTTTATTTAGCAACTGAATATACTTTCATCAAAGTCTATACACATTCTGTTGCATCCAAGTTTTTTCTCATCACACCACTTCCTTTAGAAGTCCAGCTTGAAAAATGGAGATTTGTTAAATTTTTTATATATCATGGTGAAGGTTAAGTCAGGGACTGTAGTGGAACTTTACAACAATTATTATCAATAGCCATTTTGACTTCCTGACATATTTATTCTAATTTCCAAAATTGTACAGCTGGTTCTTTCTTTATGGCTGTTGTTGGATAAGCTTCCATAAAGGTCTGAACTGGGTTACCCTGAGAGATCAACATAAAGCATAATAATAAATAACTGATGTTAATTATTTGCTGATATTGACTCCTGCAAATTCAGTAGGTGCTTGGTAATAAGAGATCTAATGAAAATTTTCAAACAATCAATGCTGACTAAAACTCATGAGCCCTTAAAGAAGACCCTTTTTATTTATTCTTATTTACTAAGCTTAACTTTCATAACCTTTATTCTTCTAGCTCTTTATTTTTAGGTGATGGACTATGCAGATATCAGTTTTTATGTAAATCAAACCATTTTAGCTCTAATAATAAGGTAGAATTAAGATTTTTGAGCAGATGATTCACCAAGCTGTGGCATACCTGCAAGTCCCATTCTTTAACCCAGTGTTACCAGGAAAATGTTTTGCCCATTTTAGATTT